CATGCGGGCCGCGCTGCTGCAGGATGGGGAATTTTTGGTAGTTGTGACGAAAGTCCCCTGTAGTGCAGAGCTGGGATGGTGAGGCACGGATGCAAGGTCGTCCCTGGGTGCTGGCAGTTGCTGGTGGTGACAGTTGTGAGGCTATTTCAGGAGTGCTTTTCTCTTTGTTTTCTGTGAGCAGCTCTCTCCGTGTTCCCAGATTTAACCCTGACGCTGCTCAGCTGTCATCGAGCTCGCCTTCCTTCAGGGGCTGCTGCCTGTTTGTGATATATGTTGATATCGTATATTTACTCTTCCTTTGCGTTCAGGGGAAGTTCGACTCCCTCCAGCTCCGGGCTGGCCTTGTCCCACGTATTTTAGACTTATACCAGGAGAATATAACACAAGTCCTGTCATTTAATCTCTTTGATTGTGACCTGTGTGTCGTGACAGCAGGACACAGCAGCCTGCTGTTCCTCCTAGTCTGGTGTGTTTGCAGGCAATGGCTGCTGCCATCGGTGCGTTCCTCTGGTTTGCAGTGGTTCTGACCATTTTCAAAGCTGCTCAGTGGCAGCAGTGCTGGGATGTGGGCTGTCCTCTGCCTCTATCTGCTTACTGAAGGCTGATTTACAGTTTGAAATATGGGTGAAGTAAATCCTGTGCATGGGGAGATGTGGGAACATATGGCTGGGGCAGGTGGGGCCGGCAGTCTGCATTTAAACCTCCTTAAGCTGCTGTGGAGTGGGCTCAGATGGAGTTGGGAGGACATTTGGCCTTGAGTTTTGTGCTTCTCATTGCCTGTGTTTGCTGCAGGAGCGCTCGAGCTCTTCGTTTAGCTGGCAGAAAACCTTTAGATGGGCTTTGATGTGATGTGGCTCTGTCTGATATTGTCACAGATAATCCTGCTGGTAATGTTAGGAAGAAGTCTGAACAAAGCCCACTTTTGTTGTCCCGTATCTAATGCAGAATCTTTTACAGCTCGGTGGTGGTGCGGCCTCTGCCATCCAAATGAGCCCAGGTTGAGTTTCCAGCATAGAAACATAATTCAGAAGAAGGCTAGAGGTGTGGGCAAGCAAAGTGAGCATCTAAACCTCCAAAATGTCAGTGCTGGAGGGGAATGGCTGCAGACACAGTGTGAATATGTGCACATTTGCCTGTGCTGGTCTGACAGCCTGAATGCTCGGTGTGATGGCAGCGTGTCTGACCAGGCAGCTTGCACACTGCATTTGCTGTGACAAGTGGCATTACCAAGCATGACTTCTATGCAGGAACCATGAGGAGTGTTACCTGAGAAGGTGACACTGTGGGATTATTAGATTTTCACTCTTCCATGCAGTAAGAGTTACCAGGATAGCGCTGTGTCACAGGACTGATGTCTTCATAGCAGAGGCACGCGGCACAGAAGCTGAGTTCCTTCTTTTCCCTTTCTCCATCATACCTCCGCCTCAAGGAAATGCAGAAGTTCTCACTTAAATCCTGAACAACAGAGGACGGAGCACCAGAGAATTAAATAGAGCCCAAATTAAAATCACAGGAATTATTACAGGTTTCCTGGCTGACTTTGATTCCGAGCTCTTGATTACTGCTGCTATTCTATTACATGATTTTATGACAGTGGGTGATGGACTGTTTGTAAGCTAAATATTTACTCAGTGGGGCTGCATTTAGAAATGCAGCGTGCTCTCAGCCAGTTCTGTGCTTGTTAAATGTGCTGGTGGACACAGTGCTGCCAGCCCATGCAGGTAACAGCTGCTGAGGTGCTCAAACTGAGCACTGATGAGAGCTGTTCTGCTTGAAAACCACGGCACTGGGTTGTGTTAATGTACCAGCATGGGCCAAATGCGATGCCCTCAGCTGTCCCTCGTGCCCCCCAGACCCCTGCCCACCTTGGCAGCCCTCCTTTGGATGCTCTCTTTCTGTCCTCCTTACAGCATGGCACCCAAACCAGCACACAGGGCTGGAGCTGAGGCTTCCCCAGCGTGGAGCAGGGCAGGCTGTGCTCAATTTGGTGTATGCCCAGAAAGTGAGCAGGGCTGTGCTGTTTCCAGGCAGTGACACGTGTGAGCTGGGCTGCTCCTGCTGTGACCACCTGGGTCTCAGCCCACCCAGCTCCCTTTGCTCCTGGCGTTCCATCTCCCCTGCAGGCATGCCCAGGAGATAGGCAGGCCCAGCCTTGGCAGCTGCTGCATTGCTGATAGCAATCACAAGTCAGACGAGGCTTGTGTGCTCTGCATGCTCCGAGGAAGGAGCAAAAGCTAACAATGTTATAATAATGAGGTTTCATTCAAGATAACGATCAGATTGTGTCTGGCTGTTGGATGAGCCTTGCCAGGCAGGCGGAGCTTTGCAGAGCTGTTCTGTGACGTTTCCTGGTGGCCCTTTTCATTACTGTGATGTAAACTTCATGCTTTAAAGAAGAATGTGTCGGTGGTGGCAAAAAGCCATCGGTGGGTGCTGCTGTCCGTGAAGGGCTTCAGCTGTTACAGGAGGGGGAAGGCAGTGTCAGATCAGCAGATTTTAGAAGCTGAGCACTTCCTCCCTATGGAAAAACTGCTCAGTGCTGATCCTGTGCCAGGGCAGAAGGGATGTGTGAGCGGGGAGGGCAGCCTGCCCACCGCTGGGCTTTGGGCTCCATCAGCCAGCACTGAGCAGCTCGTGGCTGATCCTGGGCTCTGGGTGCAGTTTGCACCAAAGTGTGCTAAGGCTGGAATAGGTGAGGGCTGTGCCAGAAGGGATTGGGTCTAATCTGCTGCCAAGGAAGGCACTGCAATGGCTGGGGATCAGCCGGGTTGGGGTCTCTGGGTAGAGGGAGGGATAGCCCTGTGCATTCCCACCCTTAATATCTCCTCGAAGGTTGTGCTGTATCTCTCACAGGTAGAGGACGAGAAGGTCAAGTAGAATTAAAAATGTAAAGGGACAAAACTGCTGTGGTTAACCTTGCTCTTAGCTTCTCTTAGTGTGCCAGCAGCGCTTTGTGCACACGTCACAAAGCTGCTCAGGGTTAGCAGTGCCCAAAATCGAAAGAAAAGAGCCTGTCTGGCTATTTTTTCTCTCTGTAAAGCAAATTCCAGCAGCAAAATGGGAGAAGAGAGTTCCTCGCATCAAACACCTCCCTGCTGAGAAGGCAGCGCTCCTCTTTCCTCACTTTTGGGCTGGGAGGCAGGTGTGTGCTTTGTGCTATTGCTGGCTGGTGTGAGTTATTCCTACCACGTCCCGAGGAACGCCGCAGCAAATAAAAGAGGAGAACTGTGCATGGCGGTGGATCCTCTCAGGTTTCTGAACTTACCACTCTCCTAAATTTAAGGCTGGGGGATTAATAGTACTTAAGGCAGGGCGCATCGGCCGCTTCACTTCCTCTCCGACCTCTTCTCCTTCCTCCGTAACCTCAGGAAACCTGCTTTGCTGAAGCAGAACTTTGCCCTCCGGCTCCAGGGGTGGTGTTTGTTTGCTGGGAGCTCGGGCTCCCTGTGCTGCATGGGCAGATGTGAGCTCTGAGATCCGAGGCTGGAGATTCCTCTTCCTTATGGCCTGGTTTGAGGAGCTGTGACTGCATGTGCAAATATGGGATCTGTGCAAATGTGTGAGTGTTACTTGGTTGATCCTTAGCACGATACATAGGAGTACATTGCAGCCCCTGGCAGCTGCCTTTCCCCCTGTCCTACCTTGATGATTTATCCCATTATCCCTCCTAGTCCCATAGGAACTGTGCAGGAAAGGCACCAGCAGCAGAGCATGGCCAACAGCAAGTGTAAATTAAAAACATGCATATTTTATTTTGCGTCTAAAGAGACTTTTTAAAGTAATTTTTCTTTTAGTCCAACGTATTGTGGCTTGAAGAAGCAAATGCACTGGGTGGCAGCTGCTTGGGTGGCTTTAATGATAAAGAATGTAAATAGAACTGTCTGTCTGCCCAATAGACATGGAGCACACAGGAGGAAGGAGTCCTTGAGGCTGGACTCAGTCGTGCACCCAGTGCAGGCAGTCCTGCTGTGCTGTGCTGTGCTGTGCTGTGCTGTGCTGTGCTGTGCTCCTCCCTGGGCAGATCGGCAGAGCACCAAGCATTGGCCTCCCTGCTTCATAGAGCTGCAGCAATGAAGTTCTTTGTTGTTCTTTGGTGGGCAGAAAGAGCTGGGTTCTGCCTGCAGCTGAACACACATGAAACTCCTTTTGCCCCCCAGTCATGCTTGGTGCTCCTTAGCTGAGGCACGTGTGCTTGGACACGTGTTAAGCTGCCAGCTCATCCCTAAATAGCAGCCTCCTTAAATGCAGCAGGAGCATTGCTGTAGCCAGGAATCTGAGGAAGGAGGAATTCCACCTTACAGAACTGCTGAGACCTGAAAATCCAGCTGGGTTTTCGTCTGGCAACTTCAAAGCTAGCAGGTCTCTATGCATTCAGGCTCTGCAGTTAATAGAGCAGCTAATAAAGGGTTGTCATTCCCTTCAGGAGAATAAACACTGCTGGATGAAGTTGTGCTTAATATGTGCCATTTTGTGTTCTGATTTTTTTTTAAATGCAGTCATATCTATAAAACTGTGCTGTTGCTGTAATTGTGTCAGCAAAGGGCTCCATCCAGCATGCAGGTGCTCTGCTTGAAGCTGTGCTTCCTCTGCTCGTCCTATCAGCAGTGAGATCTGCTTTCATCACTTGCTCTGCTGTCGGGGGAATGGCATTACCTCAATAGACACACAGCTTGCCCTGCTTCAAGGAATCCAGTGCCAGAGCTGAAACCAGCAATGGGGAGCACAGCGTGGTGCTGTGCCAGGTTGATGTTGGGTAGAGGAGGGAAATGTGTGTTGGTGTGAAGTGCAGAGCGTGAGTAAATTTAGAGGCTGTCCACCCAGAGACTCATTGAGTTTCTGTTCATTTCTGGAAGTTCTGAAATTAGTTTAGTGCTGCCTTACGTTTCCAAGTGTGAGATCAGGAGCTGCCTGCTGCCAATAAGCCGCCAATGGGAAGTGTTCATTTGATTTAACATCGTTGCATTTCTTTCTTTTCTCCAATTCTTCCCTCTCTCCCCCAGGCCTGTATAGATGAGAACCTGGACATGGTGAAGTTCCTTGTGGAAAATGGAGCCAATGTGAACCAGCAAGATAACGAGGGCTGGACCCCCCTGCACGCCGTGGCATCGTGTGGCTACCTGAACATTGCAGAGTGAGTGAGTTTCAGGCTATTTGGGTATCAGTAACACTTTGCACATCCTCCTCTTTGAGTGGGTGCAGCCGTGGTCGATGCTCTGAAGCTCATACAGTGCTTGGAAGCAACGTTAAAAAAAGAAGACGCCTTCCTTCTTCTACTGAATGCAAAATGTCTTACTGTTAGGGTGGAACCTGTAGCTGGTTGTCCTTTACTGATCCCATTAGAGTGGTTTATGAGTTGTTGGGTACTTTGCTAAAACCCCGAGCAAAGGGGAAATGTGAGGGCTGGCAGGAGCTGATGAGCACAGAGGAGCAGCAGAGCATGGAGAGTTCTGCCCTGATGTTTAGGGCAAAGCAGTGCTGCCAGTGACTGCAGCTGATCCGCACGTTCATGATGCTCACAGAGGGCAAGATAGTTGTGTTTGTCCCACAGGAGGTAGTGGTACTGCTTGTGCACCAACAGCTTGTCCTGGGATTTGCCCAGATATGGGACCTATGGAATTAGTGGAGCCAAAGAACTGGCAAACATAAGGGGGAGAAGGAGGCGTTCATTGTTTTTTGAATGAAATAAGTGAAAAAACTGAGGATAGCTTGGATTAAAGGCATCATCTCTCAGGTGAGTGCAAGAACTGGGGATGCTGAAGTAGCTACAGAGAAGCAGAAGTTATTTGCAAGAGCCACTGAGCAGGAACCTTGCACTTAGCAGTGAGCTTTTATAGAGCAGAGATTTGATAAGAATGTGAATGCTTGTTTGGTAAGTGAACTTGATTGAGGAGATTGTGTGCTTTGTTCTGCCACTTGATTTCCTGTGTTAGTTGCTCTGAAGCCTTCATGTGAGGTCTGACGTTGGCATGGCTCTCATTGGTGTAGGTACTTAATTAGTCATGGAGCCAACGTGGCTGCTGTGAACAGCGAAGGTGAAGTCCCGTCTGACATTGCAGAGGAGGCAGCCATGAAGGACCTGCTTCTGGAACAAGTAAAGAAACAAGGTAAATCAGCAGTGGGATTGCATGCATGAGGGGCAGACGGAGAAGGGTTTCTCTGAAGAAATTCTGTGGGCTGCTTTTCTGTGGATAAGGAGATGTGAAGTAGCAGAGAGATTTCTGCTCAGAACACTGGAACGAGTGCAGAAGATTTGTGTTGTGCATTCCCTGTCCTTTTTAGTAGGATCCTTGAAAGGGAGACACTGCAGTCCTGAAAGCTGGTTCTTTAGATCCAGTTGTTTTAAAAGTGAGATTTACTTCTGGTCTGGTTTCACTAAGGCTTGGTGATGCAGAATTGAGATTTGCAGCCCTGCTGAGCGTTGGGGCCTGGAGTGCTGTGTGTGTCCTAGAGTGACCTGCTTTATCCTGATCCTTCCCAAGACTTCTGCAGCCCATCTGCTCTGCTATTTCCCCTTTCCTCGTCAGGTGTGTCTGTGTGAATTGTCCCTGCAAAGCTGTCACTGGTGGAAGTGATTTGGCAGTGTCTTAATTAAGGGATCCTGTGCCAGTGTAAGATTTTCTCTATACTCACCAAATTCATCTGCAAGTGGTTTGGTGTCTGTATGTAAGTGTAAGAGTTTCAAGTCCTACCTGTGAAGTTCATCAGCGATGTTCTTGAAGGATGCAAACTGCTTCTCTTTAAAGCGGTGATGAAAGCTGTGTGCTGCAGTAACGTATTTGAGGGGGCAGCAAGGCAGTAATTCCAGCTCTGCTGCTGATATTTTGCCTGACGCTTGTTAGGATTTCGTTTGGCTTTTTCATTGCTTTGCCACCTTAGTCGCATCCTGCTAAGATGCCCTAAAACAACCATCTGGCTCTGCTGAGAAGCTTCCCATTGACACAGTTTAAAGAGTTGATAATTGCTGAAATAAACGTGTTGGAAGCTTCAGATAAGCATCCCTCCAGCTTTGCTTCAGCTGTAGCTGAAAGCAGATGCTTGGAGCAAGCACAAGAGCAGGACAAGTGTGCATGACTTCCCTCCCAAGTATTTTCCCAGCCTGCAGCCTCTGTGCCTCGAGGCGTTCCTGAGCCAGATGGACTTTCTGTGTATTTTCTATGTGAATCTGCCATGGATTTCTGTTTTGTGGACTTGTGCGGTCTCTTTTGGTCTCTGAGCTTGTGGAGCATTGCATTTAACATCTCCAGATGTGCTGCTACTGTTGTGCAAATCTATAATTCTTGTTTTGAAGCCGTTTGCAATGTTAATATTTGCAACATCTCGCAGTGTTTCTCAGCTCACAGACTGAGTTGATAAGTGTTTTCTTTTGTTCTATTGTAAGTCTCATGCCCTACAATTTCCTTGGTAATCATGTTGTTGTAGTGAAAGAACTGATCTGTAGGGCCTGCTGCTTTTCAATACTGATCTTGATTTGTTTTAATTTGACCTTTTATTTCCACCTCCTATCATCGAAATGATTTAGGACTGTTTCACCACCATCTGTGGTTTGCTGCTTGGAGGAGCTGATCAGATACGTCCCTCAGAATGCATGCCAGGAATGGCCCTGGTGCACTCTCTGCATGCAGCTTGCTCACTTCCTGAGTTTCCCATGAGAGCAGTGCTGGGGTTGTGCTGTTCTTACAGAGGATGCCTTAGAATCATTTCTGCACGTCCTACACAGCTCATTTTTGTTAATTGTTGTTCACGAATTGGTTCTGTTAGGCTGGAATAAAGCATATTGGCAGTACAGCCCCTCCACCCGTGACTGATTCAGTTAAGCCAGCAGTTGACCAGCAGAGTTTGTTTTAAGTCAGGCTGCTTTGAAGTTTCTGTCGACGATGCTGGAGATCTCCCAGCTGCTAGAAGCAGCTTCTGCTGATGTTTTTGGGAGATGACAAAAGCTGATAATGTTGCATAGCAAATGAAAAATAGGGTAAGTTTGCAAAGTGCACGAGAGCTTTCACCTGATAATCTCTTCTGTGCATTGCTGTCTTAGGTGTAGACCTAGACCTGGCAAGGAAAGAAGAGGAGCAGCAGATGCTGCAGGATGCCCGGCAGTGGCTGAACAGCGGGAGAATTGAAGATGTAAAGCAGCCTCAGACGGGTGCCACAGCTCTTCACGTGGCTTCAGCAAAGGGCTATTCTGAAGTCATGAGGTAGGAACTCCTTCCTGTGGCTGCTGTGATGAATTGAGCCTGGTTTTCCCAAGCATAGATTTGTAGTTGAGAGAAAAATGTTTCATACCAATATCTTTGGGCTGCTGTCTAAGTGCTCAGTAGAATTATGTGCCCAGCCGTGGTCATTCACCTAGAAATGCATAGAGGCTGGAAGATTGCCTTTCATACCTCCAGGTCTTTGGAGAAATGAAAGCTTTTCTGAGAGCAGGGCACAAACTAGAAGGTCAGGTTTCACTTAGACTACAAGTTTTAGGGCTAACAAGCCAGGCATATTGGGATGAAAGTATAATTTCAGCCTATGGGGGGACAGTGCATCCTGCATGGCAGTCACAAAAACACCCTGACAGCTGACATGCCCAGAAGGTCAGAGCAGTAGTAAAATGCAGTGTCCACCTCTGCCTCCGTGTCCCAGCACCCACTGCCACTGCTCTTGTAGCCATCAGCAGAGACAGAGGTCCCACCATGAAACAGTGCTGCTTCTACTGCTTCATCATGGACAGAAGTTTGATCAGTGCAGTGCTTCCTGGCAATGAAGCGTTAATATTTTTACAGGTAGAGTCAAGTCAGGATGTCCCAGCAGTAAAGCTTCCTAAATAAGGGATGGATGGAACTAATGATATGCAGGTTGAAATGCTTTCTGGAAACATTCATCCACTTTGATTCCTTATTTCATAGTCCTAAGTGACGTGACTTGATGTGTAAGAGCAGCTTCTTATCAAGCTCAAGTAGTTCTGTTAATCTCTCTGTTTCCTCTTAATATTCATTCGTTAGAGCTTATAATAGAGTTATAAGCTGTCTGTGTCTCTGCTGTGCCCAAGAATGCTAATTCAACACGGATCATATGGAGTAGAAATCTGAGATCCCTCTGGACAATGTGGGGTTTGGTCCCACGGGTTTTTACTGGGAGGTTTTCTCTCCAGTCAATGGAAGCTGTGTTCCCCATTTGCCAGATGTCCACTTCTGCTCAGCTACTCCTTGCCATTAAATGCTGTAGTGATAAACAGATCTCACAGAGAGAGCTGACACTGTTCCACTCTTGTGTGTTTTACGGCCACCCTGTAAGTTCAAATACGAAGCTTCAGTGCCTTAAACCAAAGGGGCTGAAAGCCAGCAGCTGGCTAACTCAAATGAGATGTGGAATTTCTCTGTGACCTTGAGTATCTTAATAACCACGTTCCCCCCCTTTTGCCAGCTGGAGAATGAACGTAAAGTCAGCATCCGATTTAAAACTTCTTCTGCAGGGAAGCACGCTGCTGCTGTAGCACCACTGCGTTTTATTTAGCCCTGAAACACATCGTGTGAAGTTGCAGGAGTTTCAAAGCTGTGCTGTTCTCGTGCTGGATTTCCCCTGAGCTGAAGGAAAGGGGAAACACCACCACGGAAATGTTCAGTGGCAGTTTTACTGGAGCTGCAGAATTCCCCTGGGATGTCCTTCAGTATTTGAGCAGCTGGACGACAGTCAGTTCTGATACGTGAGCTGCTCGCTGCTTTCACCTGATCTCCTGTGCACTGTTGTGCCTCTGACGTTTCAGACAATTGTCTCTCTTCTGTTTGTTTTGGTTTTAAATATTCAAGCCCCAGATGCATTGCAGCACAGTGCTTTGGTCTGCAGCAGGTGGGAGGTGTTCAGCAGTGGATGGGACACAAGGAGGTTTGCAGGCAGTTGTCTTGGGGACGATTTGCTTTAGCTGTGCAAGCTCTGATCTGCACAAACACTTTATTGGAAGTCGTCCATTATTTAACCCACAAATTTAACAGCTGGTGATCGCAGTCAGCAATGTCTCTGCCTGTTGCCTGGCAGCTCTGCCAGCACTGTCTCCTTGCAGTACGTGGCCCTGTTTTTCAGTAGAACCACCACCAAACTCGAATTGCCAAGTGTCCTTTCCATGCCAGGTGCTGTGCTTGACTCACCTCTTACAGAGATTACGTTCTGGAGAGAATACAGAAGTCGTTCTTGAGTGGGCAGGAATCAGTGTTGCTTCTCTTCTCAGGCTGTTGATCCAGGCTGGGTTTAATTTGAACGTCCAGGACAACGATGGCTGGACTCCACTGCACGCTGCTGCACACTGGGGGGTGAAGGAGGCCTGCTCCATCTTGGCTGAGGCGCTGTGTGACATGGATGTCAGGAACAAGCTGGTCAGTAAGCACTGCAGGCACAACATGCAGCTTATTTCATTGCAAGATGCAGTTTGACTTCATTGCCATGTGCCATAATTGCTTATCAGTTTGATCCAGCAGTGTGACAGGTTGCATGGTGAGCTGTTCTGCATGTGTACTAGAGCACTGAAAAGCAACAGGAGGTAAGGACTCTTGGCAGGAGGAAGGAAGAAAAGATGTTAGGTATCATTGGGAAACATCAGTGGTGAAACAAGGACCAAGACAGGGGCTGATGTGTGCATTTCTCTTTCAGTATGACCCTAATGTATGGACCAACAAGAGAAAAACAATCATGGAGTGCAAAGTAACGTGCTAATATTAAGCTATGAAGCATTGCAAATTCATGAGCCCTTGAGTCACTGGCAGCATGAAATCTTTCCTACTCTTCTGTCTTGGTCACAAAAAAGGAAATAAAATTCACAATGCTTGTGAGAAATGTGTGAAGAAAATTAGGGCATTTGTGAGGGGGGGGATTAGGAAGGAAGGAAAGCACCCCTACTTCCATGCTAAGAGCTGGAAGTTTGCTTAAAGAGCCCGTGGGTGTTCAGGAGGTGAAGCCTGCTTGTCCACAGTTGCTCTCTGTGTTCCCCTCCTTGTCTGCACTGGAAACTGATGTGAAAGAGGTCACTGTAGGAGGAGGCACCACTTTAGCATGGTGAGCTCCGTGGCATTCAAAATATGGAGAACTGTTTTTGTTTTTAATGCCATCAGAAGCTTTTCCAAAGTGTTCAGAAGGCGTGTGGGTTTTCTATTTTGATAGACATGAAAAGAAACAGACACAATTGTATTTGCTGCAGTCAGTTGCCAGATATTCCCTGTCAAAGATTATTACCTTGCTAAGTCAGATGGCTGGAGTTATTTGGTCATTAGCCATCAAGTCTCATCGTGGTGTAAATGTAACTTGATTTCCTGTTTTATGCCCCAAAGTGATTTTTTTTGGGTTTCTTTTATTTGTGAATGTTCATGGATGTGGAAATTAGCACCCAGGTTTTTTGGCCTGCTGATGGTGGGCAGCCCTGCAGGAGGTCCAGGTGCACAATAATGCAGCAGAACAAGTTGTTTGCAATCCTTCTCAGTCCAGGAGCGTGCTTTTCACAACACAGGTAGCTGTGCTGCCCTGATGGAAGCTGCTCTGATGAAGGATTGTCTCAGGAAACCACAACTGCTGTCACTTGGCTTTCTCTACTGCAGAGCATGACAGAATGTTGCTCAGAATCAAGGCACAGTGGCTGCGGTGCACAGTCAGTTTAATTCTTCACTGATAAATGGTGGTTTTTTGAGTGCTGATGGCATGCTGCACTGAACAGCTTCTTGTCCTCTTTTTCCTCAGGGCCAGACTCCATTCGACGTGGCCGATGAGGGGCTGGTGGAGCATTTAGAAATGCTGCAGAAGAAACAGACGGTGGTGAGTTCTTGGCAGATTGTTTTCCTCATATCCAGTTCTGTGCACAGGTGTTCTCTGAAGCACAGGGCATCAGCAGAAGCATGAAGTGGAGGTGCAGCCATTTTTTATGTCCATCACTCAAGGATCTCTAAATACACCAGTATTTTCAGTAGATAGGAATGTAGTGATTGTGTGTGATTCTCCCCTGTGACTGTACTGAGTCCTACACAATCAGATCCAGTTTTAGACCATATAGAAGTCAGTCTAATAGACACTAACACATAATTTGTGTCTAGCCTTCCTAAGTCCATCAACTATCTCCCAGGATTAATTTATATTAAGGTGAAAGGTAATTTATAGCTTTGATTTCTGAAGGGGCCTTCAAGCATAAGTGTGTATCTTCACCGAATGGACAACTCCAGCAGGAACATTGCCACTGTGCTGCTCAGTTTTTCCATATCAGCAAACCCTTAGGTACTCACAAACTGCTTTTGAGCTCTCACTGGTCCTTCTGTAAAAGCTGGTTTTATATTTAACATGCAGATGGATTTACATCAATCCTCTCTCATCACTTTACACCAAGAGAGGAATTGTCTCTATTTAGCATCCAGATTAAGAAGACAACCTAGTTGCCCCCAATGCAGCCAAATGCTCTTGGTTGATTTGTCCATTTTTCCCATTCTCTCTGAGTGTAGAACACTGATCACCTCAATTTTCTTGTGAGGATAGGGAGATTATATCAAAACAGGCAGAGTAGATTGTATTCTGTGTGTAGAAAACTGGGTGGCTGACTGCATCCAGGTCTGCTGAGGTGCACAATTCCGTGAGCTGCTGAAGAATTGTAGTTCATCTGTGGAGTTGCTCCTTTCATTGCTTTTATTTGCTGGCAAAATCTGTGATGTCAAACTGCTCTTTACTTAATGAGCAATTTACCCAAGTCCACACCGTGTTTGTATCTGAGGGGTTACACTGTCACTGTAGAGAAAGATTTCTGATTTCAAAAGCATGTTGAACTGCTGCTTCGTGGTGCAGTGGAGGCATTGGATGGATTTATTAGCAGAAAGTTGTCATTGAAATGCATCTTGATCAAAGTAAAGGCAGTCATCAGGCCAGAAAGTAGGTTTGGGTTACATGTTTTCCTATTTCACCTGGTTTGTGCAATTGTATTGTTTGGGTGCTTCCAAAAAAGCCAGCCCCACATCTTTTCAAATAGAAAATAATGACAAATATCAGAAAATATCATTTAAAACGCTGGATTCAGGAGCAGACATAATGAGAGCATTGCTGGTAAAACCCAGCGGAGTATTTTGAGGAACTGATGATGTGGGTGGTAGAACTCGAGCTCTGATCATAGCACAGCTGCTGTCACCCTTAAATAGCATCCTAAAAATTAATCAGCTTCTCCCTAAATGAGGTGTTGATAAATACTACCAGCACTTTATTGTGGGTTCCCTCCTATGCAGATGCATCAGGATAGTGAGAGAAATGTATTCTTCAGAAGAAAAGCAACAGAAACAGCCACAAGACCTCTTTGGATGTGTGCTAACCCATTTGTAGGCTTGCTTTGCAGGAGATGGTAACCCCCTGCTTCTCTAGATTGGCAGCACTAGATAAAGGAAGAGTAACCCAGCTGGACATGGTACAGAGGAGACAGGCTTCAAAGCGAGCCTCTAATTGTGGTCGTTATTCATTTCTTTCTTTTAACCCCAGCAGTCCCTGTGCTTTTAGTTTGATTGTTTTTTGTTGCTGTCCATCAGCAGTGACACACTGCTATCTGGGAGAACGCTCTGATTGCTGCAGTGATTGCAGGTATTCCTGTCCAGTGCTGAATTTTGGCACCGAGGGGTTTAAGAAGGGCTCACCTACATGGGAGATCTGCCTGCCTGTGCTGGGCACACTTGGATGCTTTCCCCTGCCTATAAGTGCACAATGGGGACACAGGCACAGATTTTAAACCGAATCCAGCCTGATTTCCTGGGTGTCCAACTGCACGTGGATGGACCTCCAGCACTGCATCTGGGTGGGCAGGTGCAGAGCAATGCCATGAAAGTCACGCTTTGAGTCTCAGCACAGACTGCTGCAGACTCCTGCTGAGCCTCATTGCCTTGCAGCTGCAGGCTGAGGATGGGCTGTGTCTGCAGCTACGAGCTGGTGGAGCCCTGGGAGACCAGGGCATGCAGCACTCCTGCAGATGTGCAGCTGCAGCAGGAGCTGGCTGGGCAGATCAGTGTTTTTCCTTAACAAGGCTGAGGTGTCCTTGCACCGTGGATGTTGACGCTGTGCTGAGGTGCTGTGCTCAGATGTCTGTTTCTCTTTCTGCTTGGACTTTCGGACAGCTGCGAAGTGAGAAGGAGACGAGGAATAAGCTGATTGAAGCTGACATGAATGGCAAACCTCAAAGTGGAGTCTTCATGAAGTACGTTGCTTTCCTCTTCTCTGAGAACAAGCTGCACAGTGCAGCAGGGCAGCATCTGTAAACCGTCAGCTGCTTTTAAAAGGTCTACTGCTGTTTGTGCCTATTTCTTGATTCCTTTCAAATTCAGCCTCATTTAAATGTAGCATCAGGTGGTTCTTACTGTACCCAGTGAAAGCCAGGACGAGGAGTTGGGCTGCTGTTTGGTCCCCAAGCTTCTCTTCCTGATCATCATTTTGACCTTTGGGCTGAGAGCTGCTTTGCAGCTGCAGAGCCATACAGCCTTGCTGGAGGATTGTTTTCTTAGGAAAAGACAGGAGACCACATTTCTTCACTCTGAGAAATGCCCACAAAGTTAGGAAATGAGAGACTGGCTTTGGAATCCGTGGGAAATGGGCAGTGCTGGAAGGGCTGGGATGCAGAGCATGCAGACTGATTTTTGTCAGTTTGCATCTTCTGTGTATAGCAAATCATGTCTGTGTGTTTCTGAGAAGCAGAGCTCAGAAAGAACTCGCTTGGTAATCCTTAAAATTCCTGGTTCTTCCAGCAAAGAGAAAATTCTCTATGAGGAAGATAGGCTGAAGACCACAGATATGGAGGAAGAGAACAAAGACTCGAGCAGTTCTAGCTCTGAAGAAGAGGAAGAAGCTGAAGAAGATGAAGTTTCAGAATCAGATGCTGAAAAGGAATCAGGTAAGATGCAGAGCAGTTTGAGGTTTCATAGTTAGCTGGGCAGTGATAGGAATTGAATTGGAGAACTGCATATTTTTTTTTGCTTTGTTGTTAAAGACATCCTGCAATCTCACTTCAAGTCTGTATACATAGAGGAATACAGCCAGTGTACTAAAAAAAAAACCAACTTTCAGGTCAGCATATTATTTCAGAAAGCATACCATGCGTGGTGTTTCAGTTTCTACTTCCATCTCACTTGGAATAAGGAGCACAAGGCATGCTCTCAAACTGCAGGATGTTTTTTCCTCATGGGCCATTTTTGGGATGAGCACTTCAGGTGCTGCAGGATGGTAGAAGACAACTGAACGAGAGTTCTATTCACTGCACATGCCTCATTTGCTGGTGCTGTTTGGATGCTTACACCTATTATTTGTTTCTTCAGAACAGTGACTGTGAGAGGCACTCGTTGCTGGAGAGGAAAGTATTGCATTGTTGGTGTAGGGAGGGCATTTCCCAGGTGTGTTGAATGTGGCTGTGTTGGGTGAGTGGTCTGACCTGGAGGCAGACCTTGCTGAGAAGATTTTCTTACCATGGGATGAAGTTCTAAAGGTTTGCTTGGCAAACACATCCATCTGGTGACTGTGGAAGTAACTGCTCAGTGAGTGGAAAGCCTCCCTGAAGTAAAGCTTGTTTAGGCTTGGCATCATCTTTGTGATCTAAGGCATGCCTGGGGCACACAGCTCTGAACTTGAGTGCTTGTAAAGAAGGGCCTTGAAAAACGTGATACTGAAGCATTTGTGTTTTTTTAAACCTGTAGAAAGGAAGGAAGAGTCCTTTGCCAACAACTCCAGCCACGAAACCAGGCCCAGCGTCACTGAGCAAATACCACCACCAGAGTCCAACTCCTTCACTGCCTCTGCCAGAAGGGTAAGAGAATTTGGATCAGCAGCGACTGGAACGGAGCTTGGAAGCAGTAGGGTTAGCAGGGAAATAGGATTCTGCATACTGTTGTGCTTTCCTGAATTGCCTCTGAGAATCAGCTTCCATTTTGGCAAAGATGCTGCATTAGCAGCAGTAGAAGTCCAGCACAGAGGAGGATATTTGTATGATACAATGCCTCTCCTAGATTCTTACTTTCTGAAACAAATCCTGGTGTTCACAAGGAAACTTGACTTGCTGCTGTCGGTTCTGAGGCAGCTGATGCTGACCTCTTACCAGCAGCTCTTTCACCAAAGGGTTTTGCTGAGGTATCAGAGCTGAATTTGGCATCCTGGTCTGAAGCATCACTTGCCAAACCTGTTTATGCAGTGACACAACATTACAGCCCAGTAAGCAGAGAAGATAAAGTTTGCCTCTGACTAGATAGCCAGGTGCGAAGGCTTTGCAAATGTGAACCAGTTACTGAAATCTTATCTGGATTCTCCAGCTCATGCATCACTCAGCCAGATGGCACTGGGAGGCTCTGTGTTTTGCCTAGGATGTGCATCTTATGCTCCTGGTTTCTTTTCGCACCAGAATATGGAGGGCAGCAGGCACTGTTGGATGAAGTACCAGTTGTATGCCAGAGGGAAAATGATTCTTGCTAAGTCATTTTTTTTTTTTTTTATTTTTAACTTTTTGCCTCTTACCAAAATCTAACTTCTTGTTCAAGTCAAGCTATTGCTCCTCTGTCCATTGCCCAGCTCAAGCTGAAGCTCCTTTGTGGGAAGGAATAATGAATAGTGGATTCTGATCCACCCCTCTGTGTGCCCTTCAAGGTTCTGTCAGTCCCATCTCAGCCTGTAGGCTCCTATAGCTCTCTTGCTCTACCTGTTGCCTTTGAATCTCTTCCCCTTCTTCTATACTGCTTTTGAGCTGTGGAGTCCAAAGTTGTGCCCGTTATCAAATATGCAGTCTGGGTGCAGCCCAGCATAAAGCGAGGCCCGCTGAAGCATTTCTCAGAGCTGAAATCCAGCCTTGCAGTGCTCTCACCTCCTGCTGCTCTTGTCCCCGCTGCAGTTCAGTTGGCTCAGCAGGTCGGATGAGCAGAAGGATGAGTCGCCCTCCTCGTGGCGGTTGGGTCTGCGGAAGACTGGCAGCCACAACACCCTGAGCGAAGTCGCTGCCCCCCGTGAGGCACAGAGGGAGAAGGCAGCTTCTATCTATCGATCCTCGTCCACCCCTCGGATCTCTGCGTTATTGGACAGCAAAGACAAGGTTTGGCTCGTCTTTCACAAGGATTTTGTGGCGTATCCCAGTTGAGATGTTTACCTTGCAGTTTCAAGACAGTTTCCCTTTCATTTTCACTTATTGCTGGGTTTGTAGCTATAACAGAATCACAGGATGGCCCAGGTTGGAAGGGACCTCGAGGATCACAAAACTCCAACCCCCTGCTACAGGCAGGGCCACCAACCTCCCCATTTCATAGCAGCCCAGGGCCCAACCTGGCCTTGAACACCTCCAGGGATGGACGGGGCGTCACAGCCTCTCTGGGCAGCTGTTCCAGCACCTCATTGTTCTCACAGTAAAGAACTTCCCCCTGACATCCAACATAAATCTTCCCTCCCTCAACTTAAAACCGTTTCCCCTGGTCCTGCTGTTACCTCCCCTTTCAAAGAGTTGAACAGGTTTGGGTGTCTCTGGTTCTTTTTATTGTATGCACCCCCGTGCACCTTTTTCTACTGATTGCAATCCTGACACAGCTGTCCTCTGTGCCCCTCTGACCTGTTTCCTGCTCAGTTTCAGGTGGGCTGCCAATCTGGCACAGCCCATTCTTCACCAGAAAATATCAAATCCGGACAGTAGCACATATCTGCAGTGGAAATTCTCCTTCCTCATCACCTAAGTAGATTCCCTCTCTACCCACCAGCTGTATTTGTGAATCTCGTTCTGTGTATTCACTAGCTGTAACTGCTGCCCATTTTAAGTAGTTCTAATTGGAAGCTGCTTACATTTGCTGACATGTTCAGGAAATCATGTTTAAGGTGTCACATTTCTTGCCCAAGAAAAAGCCTCAAACAAGTTATCCTTAGACAGGAAAATAGTTCTGTGATTGAATGAATCTGACAGTGAATTCATCTATCGCTGAATGTGCTGCAGGTATCTCAGATTTACAGCCAAATTACTTTTGTTTATCAGGATAAAGAGAACAAGAGCTATCTGGCCACAATAGCCCCCAGAAGGCTGAGCAGTGCAAGTGACATAGAGGAGAAAGAAAACAGGTGAGACTGAATGTCAGACTGTCGGCTCAGCTTGAATCCTGCAGGCAGTTCCTTGGGATATCTTCTTCCTGTGTTAATGCATCGTATCTTTTCTGGCAGTCCTGTCTGCACAGGTATTTACAATCAGTTGCCTTTCATTTAGGCAAGCAGGACAAGTGATTGTTTTCCCCAGCCCTGTATCACTATTTATCTATATCTATGTATTGTCTCCATCTGGGAAACGAAGTAAATGCTTACTTTTTCGTTTATCATTTTGTATGCAAGTGCCTGACTTTGCAGCTCTCACATCTGTACTTGTGTCACTGGCTCTGTAGTTACCTTCAGTTCCTTTTATTCAGGTCTCTGTCACTTTTTGATTCACTGAGGTTGTGAACTCTCTCGTGCAGAGCTGCATACAGCAGGGGCTGCTTTTGGAGGGTTGTTTGTAGTTGCCTCTGGGCAGAACCACAGTATAAATGGGACGAATACCCAGTATACCGAGGTGTACTGTAGAGATGAGCCATTCACACCAGTTACTCATGGCGTGGAGGAGAATTTCAGCTGGCCTCACGTTCAGCCAGTTGCACAGCAGTGGTGAGCAGGGCACACAGAGCAGTTCTGTGATCTGCACTTATGGGGGTGTCCCAGGATGTGACACCAGGAGAGCTTCAGCACAGACTGACATTCTTTGCTGATCTTTTGCTGGAACCTCCCTGCTGTGTTCTTGCTTAATCTCAGCTGGCGCTGGGATTTGGGCTGTGGCAGACAAATGACTGATAAGCTTGAGTGGTTTTGGCAGTGGCTTGGATTGAGTGGCATCTCCAGCTGAGTGCTGGTGAGTGTCCTTCGCTCTGTAAAGCAGAGAGCAAGGAGGGCTGTGCTGCACAAACAGATGGTGCCCAGATGCACTGTGCAGGGCAGGTTTTGTTCTGATACTCCTTCATTTCAAAACAGCTGAATATCGCTTCTTAGAAGCACGGATGTCTGAAGGGGCATTTGGAAAGGCACTGTGATTGAAAAATGGTCATCAACTGTGGGCTGAAGGTCCTGTCCTAAACTAGAGCAGGACAGGACATTGTGCTGGAGTGTGGTTTGGGAAAGGCAGCCCCGATTTCAGATAAATAGAGAAGTGTGGCTGCTGATAACGTAATGCATAAACTGACAAGTGATTTTAGATACTGCCAAATCTTCTGTCTGTTTTGTACTGCTAAATATAGCAGAGGATTTGTCATACTGTGTGGCTTTTACTTCTATCATTGCATGATAGAGAATTAATGGTTTGATTATAGATATTCTCCTTGTACCTGTTCCACTTGTGCCGTGCTGCTCGACACGAGGTGACGTTGTTTAATGTGTTCCATTACATCTGTGGCCAATCTGAACCTCAGTCGCAAGTCTTGGGACTGGAAAAGGATATTCATGCAAAATATCGCATCCTCTTGCCATTCTTACATAAAACAGCTGATAATCACAGCAACTGGCAGTGGAAGCGTTTCAGAGTTGCCACCTGTAAGCAGCGATGTCTGTAGGTGGGTGTGAGGGGAGGGTTGGGGCTGGGGGCTGCAGGGGAGCTGGACGAGACTCTGGGAGGTTTCCTAAACAAACCCTGTGCTCTCTGCTGCCTTAGAGAATCAGCTGCTAACATCGTGCGGAGCGGCTCCTACAGCCGGCAGCCGTGGAGGGATGAATCAAAGGGAAATGAAGCTCCCCATTCTGGGGCACCTCCTACCTACGTATCTACGTACTTGAAAAGGTATGCCCAGCTCTCTGCCTGTGCTGTCAGCAGTCGGTTCTGCCCTTAGCGTGCCTCCCTCTGCTCGCTGCAGCAGGCCTTGAGCAGAAAACACAAATCAAGGCTTGTCGGCGTCTGTCGTGCTGAATAACCTCCTTAGAGACCATTGCTTCTGTTGCTTATAAATGGTTGGACTGAATTTAAATACTTTTCTTCGTACAATTCAAAGGCAAAATGTTTTGTGTTAATGTTGTGGTTTGATAACAAAAGGGAAATTGGTCATAAAAAGAGAATAAAGCAATTACAGTCTGAACTCAGCATTCACATAGCTGTTAACAGGTAAGTTGTAGCTTAGTGCTAGTTTTGGTTTGCATTAGTACGTGTTTATGGCAGTAATGCTATCGGGACAATGGCAGTGCTCTTATGGGTGATTTAGGGCAGCACGACCGGTGTCTGCAACCTTTTCCTTGTGGCAGTAAGGACACAGTTTGCACAGTGTATGTGAAATTGTAGAGCAGCTTCTGATTGCTGGTAGCCCAGCAGGGTCAGAAAAGCATCCTGTCTGTGACTTCCATAACTTCAGTGTCTTTTACCCTCTGGGAGGCAGAGGCTCGGTGTTCCTGGAGCAGCAGGTAGTGGCCTCTGAATGAGGTGAATGAATGGCCTCCTGTGATGGGGCAGATAATTCATTTCTGAGCTTTTGTCCACGTTGAGAAAAGGAAGATCGGCCCTTTGTGCAAGTGCTGCTCCATCGCATCACCTTTCTTGTAGCTGCAGCTGGAAACCAGCAAATCAGCATGTGTAAATGTGCTGCAATGCCATTTGTGCTTCAGGAGAAGAGCAGAAATGTTTCAGGATTTTAGATTATGTTCCACAGAATTCTAGACTCCGAACTAAATAGCTGTGCTGGAGATGGAGCAGTTGCTCGAGGTTTGGGAAGAGGTGCACGTCTGTGTCCTGGTGCTTCTGCTGGTTGAGGTAAGTCCTGCTCTGGAGCGGCCTGTCCAATTGCTGAGAGCACAGAGACCCATTTCCACAAAAGGTGAAACAGCCACTTCAGACAGCAGACTTTTCCTGATCTGCTGATCCATTCCAGTGACTTCACATCTATCCTGGGACATGATGACAGGTCAGCCTCTGTAGCGTGGCTCTCTGAAGGCACTCCAACCAGCAGCAGCTGATTGCATTGGAAAACTTTGGCCTCCTGCAGCTGGCATGCCTGCTGTTCCCTGGTCTGAGGCAGCCCATAACGTCACTGAAATGACTGTCTGCTGAAACCTCACAAGCATTGCCTGTTTGTCTCACCTGATCAGAATCAGATTTAGTGCCACGTTCACATAGTTGCGCTGTATTTCCTTGGTTAGACTGCGCAGGGATCAGCAAAGGCTTTGGCTGGCAGTGATGTTTTGCTAATAAAGACGTCTTTTCACATAGGCTGAGTTCTGCCCTTCTGTAGGAGGGTGCTGGAATATGAGCAGTTACAGGGAATAGCTTTGCCAACTCAGGAATGAAGCGCAGGGGCACCCGCACTGCTTTACAGGCATCAGCAGTTCTGTGTGACTCACAAACAGTAAAAGTGGGGTGCGTTTGCTCTCTGTCCCCTGATGGTTTTCTGCAGAGGAGCACAGAGAAATGAAACATAATCGTGCCGATTTCTCCTCCCTTTTACATCACCTCTCAGATGAGAAGCAAAGCACGTTGCCTGTTGTAGGCTCTTTGTCAGCAGAGTGTTGTTAGTATTTGGAAAACAATCCTGGAGGATAAAAGCTCATTTTGAAGGAGAGTTAAAGTGAACATGACATACCTGCATGTTGCTGACAGGATGACTGCTTTCCCCTTTACCTTAGAGTTTAACTAATCCCCCTAACGAGACCCAGTTATGTTCTGAGTGCTTTGTGACCCCCAAACAAAGGGTAAACGCCACCAACAGATCACATTCAGGTGTTGAAAATGGTTTTTCTGCTCGGTGGGAACAAAAGAGCTTGCAGTAATTTTACAAATGCTCTTCAGCTTCAGTGGAAGCAAATGTTAAACCTCTTTCTCTAATGGTAGGGGCTGTCACTCCTTTCTCTGGGTGCAGCACTAAGGAGCAGAGCACAGACCCGTTTTCTGACAGCCCTGTTTTCGTGCATGTTGACCTTTGAGCAGCCAGTTCTCATCAGTTAAAGTGTTTGGAGGAAAACTAACGTTGCAGATTGAGTTAATTCAGCATCCTTCCTTTGGCATCAGCTGCAAGAGATGCTTCACACCAAAATGAAATCACTTTTGCAGTTATTTGCTTCATTTTAGATACTTGCAGGCACTCTTTATTGTTTTTGCTGGCATAAAAGCCATCACAGTAAGTCAGGCCTGCAGTCCCAGCTCCCATCACCAACTGGTTTTGGAGATCCACCTGCTGAAGCTAGAATGGCTTCAGAGCAGCCTCCTCCCCTGCCTTGGCTTTCAGCAATCCTTAATTAAGGAGTGGGGGTCATAGTTAGGTCATCTGTTAGAGACTGAACAGCAGTGTGTCAATGCCTTTATTTCTATTGTTGGGTTCTTGAGCATAAATTCCTAATCCTCCTTTTTCAGATGAACATAACTGTTAATAAGTAGATTTTCCAGCTAAACTTTGTGTTGCAATTTTCTGGTCCTGTTTGCTTGAACTGTGACCAATTGAGTCAGTGCTTGAGCTGTGTGATGCCACCCTTGCAAGGTGATGGGGAGGGGAGGTGGCAGTGCTTCAGATCCCTCGTGAGCAGCTCGAGTGATGCCCAGCACCAGCTTCCCCTCGGACCTGAGCCATGTGCATGTATGTTCCCTCTTCCCCTCTCAGTTCGCTCACATCTCTGCTCCCCAGGCACCTGGTCTCCTTCCATCCTGTTGTCTCCCATTTCCAGCCGCTGCCTTTTCCCTTCTGAAGCACTTATCAGGTCTTATTCCATAACCCTCCCCTTTCCTCCCTTCCCAGCCAGGTTTCTCATCCGCCCTCTGCACCGCAGCCTCTCTGCCTTGTGTTCTCCTAGGATGGTGCCCCACCATCCCTGCTCCCCCAGGACCACCACCAGCATTTTCCAGGCTCCTCCTCTCACTCATTCCCCTGGCACATGTTCCACTCCTCTCAGTACAGCAGGCCCTGATTTCTCCCCCTCATCTCTGCGACGTCACGGCTGCTCTCTCCGCACGCCCACAGCAGCCAGGTTTAGCTCCCTGCTCTCACTCTCCTTTCAGGCTTTTCCTTTTCCTCTGGTGCAGAGCCCAGAACGGGAGGCAGTTCCTTCCAAAACGACTTCCTGCTCCCCTGTGCTCAGGGCAGGGGCCGGCTTGCCAGAGGAAGCTTTGTTTGTGGTCCAGTGGAGGTTGCTACCTGGTGACAATAACTTGCTTGTTCCTTTGTGACCTGGACATGGCAGGCAGCCATCAACCAAAGAGCCCAAATGTAATGCTGCTCCCCATGGAGGCCTTCCAGGATGCTCCAGTCTCTCTTTGGCTGTGTAGGGACCAGCTGCTTGGCTGGGCTGGCTGGCTGCCTTGGCGTATAAAACTAATTTGCAAATCGAGTGCCTACGTGAATTGGACTGAATCCTTCCTCCGACCTCCTGTCCTTGGCTGTTGTTCTGTCCCTTGCAAGTTTTATTTCAGCCTCGGGCTGCTCTCTCTGACTCTTGCTGTAGTGCTGACTTCCAGTTCCAGCCCATTTACCCTGCCTTTCCCATGCACCTGCAATTCTTTGTCCTGGCTTTTCCTCTCGGTCAGCTTTTCCTCCTGGTGCATTTTGTGTCAACCACTTTTCCTCCATGCATTCCTGCGTGGGAGTCATTAGGATGCAGGAGGTGAGACGAAACCTTCCCAGCCTTTGATTCATCCTGCAGACAGCCCAGTCTGACCAGGAGCAGCCAGGAATACCAGTTGCTGGGTGTGTCAGGATCCCAGATCACGAATGTGTGCTTGTTTCTCCGTGCCATCAACAAGCAGCCTGGATATGGGGCTGAGCTGCACGTGACGCAGAGATTTTTGCCACGTTTCATCATCTGTTCTTAGAGGTGCACAGCTAATCAAAGCAGAAGGGTGCATCCTCATGTTGAAAGCCCTTCAAAGTAGGAGCACTTAGAGCTTTTCAGTAGAAATGGTTTTGAGAGTTTTGCATTAGAATGGCAAAATACGCATTTCCTTTGCTCGTTCTTGAGTACTTTAGGACAATTTTGGTAGTGATTGTTCCAGATACAGAGCTTGTGCCGTGTGTGCCCCATTGGAGCCTGAACTGATATTTTTAAGCCACTGCAAACAGGTTCTTAAACCTGGAAGTCCCAGGCATCGCTGGGAGGCAATGCAGCCAGGCCTGCTGCTGTCCCTCGCTCCTTCCCTGCTCCCAGCAAAATGATCCTTGCTCATCATCCCCACCATTCCCCATACACAGCATCGCTCTGCGTGCAGCTTCTGCCACGGCAGGACTTCTCCCTTCCCCGATCTTCCCTGATCCACTGTTATTCTCTCTGTGGAACTCAGCTGGACTGATCTGCAAGGTGATCTGCAGCATCTCTGGTGTGCCATAATCTCCTTTGCTCAGGAGTAATACTTTGCTAAGATGTAATACTCCCTTTTCAGCTGCGAGCTCAGCTGTGGGGATGTTCTGTTGAATGTTTACTGTGCTCTGAAGGACCTGATTTTGTGATGTTTTACAGTGCTTCATTTGGTAGAAGTAGTGACCTCAGCAGTCCCTACATTTCAGCCAGTCGCAATACATCTCTAGCTACCTCACCCACTGCCATTGGTTCATCTACCTCACTGAGCACCCCGTGGCAACCTGCCTCTGCCTGCCCCACACCTCTCGGTGCGAACACTTCTGCATCCACCTGCCAGCACACCAGGTAACAGCTGAGATAACGCTGCACAAAGTCAGCGCTTGGGTTGGAAGTTCTCAGTTCTGGATTATGGATTGGAAATGTACTTCCATACGGGAACTGCTGATAAGAGATCGCAGCGTGGTCGCAATGGACAGTTTCAGTGGCGTGTTTGCACCAGGATGCAGTTAGCAGCCCACGTGTGAGCTCAGCTTCACGCTCCTCCTGCCCTGCTGCGATGGCACGGCGCTGCTCGGGCTGCTCTCCAGCATTCAGCATACGAGCTCTGGAGTTCGTTCCTTCTGCCTATTCACCAGTTACGTTTGTAACAATTTTTGCTGCAGACGGGGATGTGGTCATTAACTCTGAATTCTTCCTGCTTATTCTTCTACACGTTTTTATAAACCGGTTTGAATGTGTGCAGTTCCCTCTGCTACCACCAACCCGGAGCAGGGAGGATGAACTGCCGGTGCTCCCTCGAAGCCGTGGTCTCGGTTAGCAGTTGAGTTGACTTGCTTTGCTTTCCGTTATGTCTTCTCTATTTCAGAGCCCCTTTCAGGCAACAAACTGATTCTGCCGTAGAGAGAAATACAGAGGGCCTCTCTGCTAGCACCCCCCTAGGTGTAATCACAAACCGTGCTGCACGCGGCTCTGCTTACGGTACTGCGAGTGCCGCTGCTGCCTCAACCACAGGAAAGGACTGCTCTGCTGAGGAAGCCAGGGAGCGCAGAAGGTCAGTGGGCAGTGCTGGGGCGTTTGGTTCCTGCTCTGTGGTCACAGCTGGCGTGGTGGTGCTGGTGGGGGTGGCAGAGCTGTTCCTCAGGTGCTGTGTGAGGCTGCGGGCTGCCGGCCCTGCTCTGTCTTCAACGGTCAGTTCAGAACCTGAAGGTTGCATTTATTTGGGGCTTTGCCTGCTCGTCCTTTCAGCGTGTCTCAGCCTTTTTCTTCTCTAGTCATCTCTGCTACAGTCTGAGACCTCTGTGTGCAGGAACGGGCAGCGCTCAGTGGGTTCTGTAATGTGAGTCCCCTCCTAAAAAGAGCATTGCACTGAGATACGTTCAGACCAAGTGCATCCCTGTGCTAAGACCAGTGGGGATGTCCTTGTATTGCTGTTAGTGGGGGAAAGCAAACGCTGCTGGAGTGTGAGATGTGTGATGCAGTGGAACAGACTGCACTCCAGCAGCATCTGCTGCCTTCTGTTGGCTGTGAAAGAAGACTCAGCATGGAGGCTGAAGTCTGCCCTGTGCAGCCAAGGCTGTTCCAGCAGCAGCAGCACTTTGTGTGGGTCTGAATGTATGATGTTACCTTAAGACTGAGGAAGTATAAGCCTGGATCAGTTGATGCTCTTTCCAAAGGAAATTTACCGTGTGCATTTAAGCACAGAGTATCAAGTGATCCTGTTTATTTCTGCAAGCAGGTGAACTTTTGCAGGCTGTCCCTGCAGTCAGCCATGGGACCCTCCAGCACACAGAGGTGTGCTTGCTGTGGGCTTCTCCCTGCTTCAGATGCAGCAGATCCAAGAAAGAAGGCTGCTCTGTGCTGTTGGAAAATACTCAGATTCCTTAGGCTGTCCAGGCCCTTTTTTCTTCCAGAGCTAACCCAGGTAGTGCTTGGAAGGCACTGCAGGCTGAGCCGAGTTCATCAGCTCTGTATGCAGGGAAATAATTGGATGTAGCTACTGCAGCTTATCATTTGGGTCTGTGAGGACGCTGAACATTCACTGCTTGGAGTGCCTCTGCTGCTCCGGGCGTTTTGCTGGCGGTCAGTTGACTCGGTGTCATTTGCAATTGAATTGAGATGAGCTGCCAAAGGATACTTTTAGTGCAGAGAGACCACGGGAGAGCACAGAGCGTGGATTGTGCTCTCTGTTCACTCTTCAGACCTTCTCATGACAGTATCTCTATTTTGGCAAACTCAGAATAAAGCTGCAGAGGCTTTGGATTCTTCCCAGGAGAAATGGTCTCTGCAAACCCCCCGACTTCTGGCACTGCCTGCAGACACAGAACCTGACTGACAGTACTTGTAAATGCCAAACAGCATCTATTAATATTACTGCATCGGCATTTATTGCCACATCAGTTCCTATAAATAATACAGGAGATCTGTTTGTCTCCTGCGTTCCTCCTATTAGTGATCCATCTCTTATGAGTTATGCTAATGCAGAGGTAAAAGCCAAAAAATTCCTCCCACCTTCAAGAGAAGCTTTGAAACTACTGAGCAAAAAATGCAGCAGTGATGCATTGTGCTTAAGGGCAGAGGAAACCTCGTGTGTGTGTCTCTTCTAAGAGCAGGATCTGCTGATGGGGCGACTGCCTGCGTGCACAGAACTAGGAAATGTGCTCTTAGGAGAGGTCACCTACATGGGGAAGGCTGATTTTGGAAGGAGGCCGAGTTCAGTAAAAGCAAATAAAAAAGGAAAATGGCAAGCAGTTGTCAGGGAAGCACTGTATGGATTTCAGTTCCCAGCTGTTGTAGTAGCATTTGGTCCGCTTCAGTGTTTCCAAAGCTCCAGCTTTCTCTTAGCAACAAAAACATAAACAAGCTTATCATCTAATATTAGATCACAGGGATGTCTTAGAACTTGGAGCCTTAAATTATCCGTGTGGAGCCAAAGGTTAAAGCAGAAGACTGTGAGGTTTGGGGAGGAATGAACAGCAGAACTCTTCTGCTGCTGTTTGGGATCCTCTGCCAGCCGGCAGGTTGGCCCTGGCCCACCGTAGCATTTCCTCTGGGGTGTCCCTCCTCCATCTCCTTCCTGGCTCCCTGCTTTGGTCAGGTAGCTGAAAATCAAGTGAGTCAAAAAAAAAAAATTGGGAAGAAGAGAGGAAAAACCAGCAAAGAAGAAAGCAGGAGGCAGCAGAGGAGCGATGCTGTGCCTGGCTGAGCGCAGCCCTGCCGGAGCTGGGGGTGCAGCAGCGCAGCCACGCTGCATGCAAGGCTCACACAGACCCAGCAGCCCCCCGTGCTGCAGCACTGCAGTGTGCTGCGGGCAGCTCGGAAGGTCGCCATCCAGCAAATCGTTGTGCACTCGGTTGCTTTCTTCTTTCCTGTGGGCAGCCGGTGCTGAGCGATGCTGCCGGGCCGTTTTGCTGATCTCTTGCCGGGGCAGAGCAGTCTCACGTTCCAAAAGCGTTTGTCCAGCTGAGCGCTGAGCAGCCCCGGCTCTGGGGCCGAACACCTTGCTGGTTTCTACGCGCTGCCGGGGGCTCAGTCCTGCTGCCTGCTCTGCCCGATGTCCTTTACGCAAGAGCGGCCTCTAGTGCTGGCAGCCCCTCTGCAGAGATCGCTGTGATCTCATCCTTGCTGGGGCCGCGACCTGGAATGCAGCGTGTGCTGTGCGATGTGCAGCTCTGCGAGGGAGCCCTGGGGGCGCACGGCCTCACCTGAGGGCATCGCACAGCCCGGAGGATCGTAGAATCAGGAAGGCTGGAAAAGACCTGTGAGCTCAGTGAGTGCAACAACCATCGGCCCATCGCCGCCGTGCCTGGATGTGCAGAGCAGGAGCTCTTTACCTGAGGACCGCAGGGCAGTGCTGCCTCTGTGCTCAGTTCTGTGTCCGCTTTAGAAGGAAAAGCTTGAATTGAAGCCTTGTCTGTTTGGGTCAGAATTAGGAATTTAATTTGTTCTTCCTCTTTTTTCTTTTCTTTTTCCCCCTGCTCACACTGTTAATACAATTGCAGTTGTGTGTGTTCTTCTTGTTGAAAGTTGCATCAAGGTGGCAGTGCTCACCATCAGGAGAGCTGATGGAGATGGGAAGCGATCTCTGCCTTATGTGCCCAGGGCAGATTTCCAGATAGAGAAACGTAAGATGAGGTGGGCTCACTTCCTGGGGGCTGAGGGCTGTGCTCAGTTTAGCATCTCGCCCTCTAAAGTTTCGCCTGGAAATGTTTTTGGAGGAAAGTTCACTGACACGCACGGTAAACGTGCCTGGCAAATATTTCTCTATTCTGCTTTGTTCCCGAGAGGAATCCGAGGATCCAGCTGCTAATTATAGTAGTGTATATTAATAATATATTAATAACTAAATCCTCCTTCACCAGCACTACTAGATGAACAGTTTTTGGCGAGTCCTTCGGCCCTTTTGCCTCGTGATTCCTGTCCAAATTCAGAACTTGACTCCTCAAGGGGTTCCCTGATACGTTAACCCTTCTTATTTCATAAAACAAAACCACAGGGAGATCCTGACCTCTTCAAGACTTAAACCGTGGAACTTGAACTCAAGAGGTGCTTAAACATCACTAGACAGGAACCGATGGAGAAAGCTGTGAGAGCTGTGCTGCTGCCTGTGACAGCAGTGTTTGTCTCCTCATCCTCACTGAGTGCTCACAGTTCCCTGGGCAGCCTGAGTGCTGGGGATGGGGGAAGGGAAGCTCCCATCTGTGCCAGGCCGTGGAAAACGAAAAGTTAAAAGGTCCTGTGAAGAAGTGAGCAGTCATGTGGCACCTGCTGCTGAGAGCCTTTATCTGCCATGCTCCTGCAGCTAATCGCTTTCAGATAAAGTTGTCCTTTTTTTAAAGGGCTGCTGGTGCAGATGATGTGGGAGGGCAGGAATTCTTGGGGCCACTGGGTTTTCCATGTTGGGAAGCAGCGCGGCTCCTGCTGCTGTATCAGAAATCAGCCTGCATTTCTATTTGGAAAAAGGTCGAGGTGTGGGATGGGGGTCAGTGCTGAGCCTGCCTTCCTGCAGGGCGAGCGAGCAGGTGTGTGCTCAGCTGCCCACGGCTGGTGCTGTGCTCAGGGCGAGGAAGGGGGGATTTTGGCACTTGAGTTGGGCGGAGGAGCTCGGGGTGGAGGTTGGCCTGCTAACTCTGAGCATCAATATATGTGGGATCCTCCAGGAATGGGCAAGGAAATGAAGCGGGCACTGCTCGAGCTAAGCAATGTAACAGCAGCCTGACGGCATGGAGCGAGCAGAAGGTAAAGCTGCCTTTTCTCGTCCCTTCCTACGTGCAGAATTTGTGTGCGGTTCCTCCTTCCCTACTAATCCCACCCGCTAATGTGTTTCACGGATTTAATTGTTGAATCTAAGAGGAGCTCTGTTCACGGGTTCCAGCTCCATCTGCATACCATCACCTGGACTCCGGGGTGTGGGTGTTTGCTGACCAGGATTCTGACGTGTCACGGTGCCCCATACTGGCATTAAACTAAAGAGTGAACCTGAAATGGTTGCGGTTGAGCTGGGGGTCCGGCTGGGAGTTTGTGTAGCACAAAGTCAGCTGTTCCGCCAAATCCTTTGCTCCACAGCACCGACCCGTGGATGCTGAAGGTGGAGGAGCAGGCAGAGCCGAGCAGTGACCCAGGGGCTGCTACAGAACGAGTTTTTGAGCCAACTTAATAAATCTTCTGAGAACAGCGGAGTCATGAAATTGAACCGGAGCCTCTGGCACACGCTAAGAAATTGCAACCTTAGCTCAGTAGGAAATGGGAATCTGTTATGCATTATTAACATTCGGTGATGTTTTCAGTAATTGAGCCGGGGCTGATTCATGCCTGCGTGCATCCCTTGAACCTCTGCAGCAGCAGCTCAGCGCCTCCTTCCACGGGGTGGCAGCCGAAGGCCGTGCAGTGCTGCCAGCCGGCGGAGTGCTTTGCAAAGGCTCCTGTAGCTCAGCAGCTGCGTGCTGCTCACGGCCAGCAAGTTCTGTGGGTTTGGTGGCTGTGAAAGGCAGTTTGGCAGATACTCAGGTTTGTGTTGAGTGCATTTTGTTCAAGAACATCCTGCCTTGCCTCGAC